TTCTGGGCTCCCCAGTACAAGAAGGACATTGAGCTCCTAGAGAGTGTCCAATGGAGAGCCACAAAGATGGTTAAGGGACTGGAGCATTTGTCATATGAGGAAAGACTAAGTGAGCTGGACCTGTTTACCCTGGAGGAAGGAAGGCTGAGAGGAGATTTGATCAACATGTACAAGTAGCTGAGGGGAGGATGTAGGGAGGATGGGGCTAGGCTCTTCTCTGTGGTGGCCAGTGACAGGATGAGGGGTAATGGGTGTAAGTTGAAACACAGGAAGTTCCACCTCCGTATGAGGAAGAGCTTCTTTCCTGTGAGGGTGCCAGAGCCCTGGCTGATCTCTAGAGGTCTCTTCCAACCTTGGGCATTCTCTGATTCTGTAATTCTGTGATATAAGTGTGTATACACCTTTATATATGTAAGCATAATTTTATATGTATTTGTTTGGACCTGATCTATTAGCCTTGTAGTCTCCATCTCAAACTCTAGGCAGCAAATCAGACATAGATACTTTCATTGACCCTGGAAGAATGTCACCGCTACGTAGACTTGAGGAATTTGATTTTCTTTGCAGGAAGAAAACACTTTGTCATTTCCTTACTCCTTGGCATGCCAGATCAGTCTCAGCAGTTGCTGTGTAAGCTTGCTGTTCTTCCCTTTTCCTTTCTGCCTATTGTAAACAGCTACATACTTCTAAAACCCATCAGTAATAACTTCACATCAGTGATATTTGTCATTTTTCTGATGTTTATCCAGAAGAAATGTGTGGTCATTTCCCTAGTCAGCCTGTTGTATCTTCCATAGTGAGAGTGTATGGGGTCTGGCTTTGGATTTTCTAGCATAAAAGCAGCTTCCTTTAAAGTTTAAAATTTTCTCCAGCACTGAATTAGCTTGTATCTGCTCTAAAAAGCAAATGATAAAGACCTGTGGACTCTTTCAGACTCTGTTGAAGGTCTATCAACTCTGAAGTAGGAGAGGAGAAAAATGTTTCTGTAACAGCTGAGAAAAATAATGTTGATGATTACAGCTGTGACATAATTTCTACAATAGGCTGGAAGCAGCAGAAAATCTGTATTTTTCAAAGCTTTTTCTCCTTTGAGACCTAACTTCTGCATTAAGACAAGTTAGTTTTAACCTTTTTTTTTTTCTTCCTTTGGTTCCACTACTTTGTGTAATTACTGTTTTCCTGGGTTTGCTTCTTCTATGTGAAAGCATTTCACTTTTCATAGTGTGGAGCAGGGCCATATGTCTGTGATGGCAAAATGCACTTTACACAAATTTATTGTCCAGCAAAACAGCAGCATTAGGTGACACAGCTGGTTCTTCTTGCTTCTGATGTTGTTTTATAGGTCTGTTATGATAGCACTTTTTAAAAAAGATAATGAAGTTTTATTGCCTTGATTACAGAGAGGAAAGCTAGAAGGGATGATCTGGTTTGAAATCAAGGCACAAAAGGCATGAAAAAGTATCTTTTGTCTGTTTTTTTCTCCTGGTCCTCGGGAGCCTGCTGCAGGCCTTACATATGTCCTCCCTCTTCCCCCACTTTGATGGATCTCCCTTTCCTCTCAAGGTGCACTGCCAGGATCTTCGGTTCTCTCGCAGTGATTATTTAGGTTTGAGGCTGTGGCTGCCACCGGAGTGGTGTCCATATTAAAGTGCTTTAGGTTTGTCTTCAGAACACGTTGTTTCTAATTTTTTTTGCACACACTGTTTCGTTTTTGATTCCAGACCTACTCCACTTTCACAGATTCACCAAGCTGCACACTGAAGCATGTCACATTCCTCAGTACTTTGTTTGGGATGAGGGAGGTGACCTTGAAATCCTGACCGCAACCAAGAACATTTGGGGCTTGGGGAACACTGTGTTTTAGCACTAGAGGCCTGTCTCTGCCTCCTGGAAGTGCTGTAGGCAGAGATGTGTCTTTCTGAGCAGACCAAAAGCAGGTAAGAGCATGTCTCGGCCGAGGGGGATTTGTAGGGGGCAGTAAGAAAGGAGTTGAGCTGGAGTGAAGATCAGGAGTGGAAGTCACCACCATTCAGTGGTATGCACCAACTTCTCCCTGAACTGCTCAGGATTATCAAACTGGAGGAAACGTGGAGCTTTAGATGCGTGGAGTATTTGTGCTATCATGTTTCTGAGCCACTGTCTTCCTGGGGCTCCCGTCTGCAGAGAGGGGGATCCTCCCATGCTGGCATCTCACAGCCACTGTTGTCCCCTTGCTACTGTTCTGCTGATGAAGCTGGGTCCTCCTGTGTGAGCCCTGTAAGAACTATTCCCATTTTTGTGTCCTGGAACATGGTTTTGGGTTAATATTCTTGCTATCTTGAAGTGCTGTTTGAGGGGACAGCTGTTAAAGAAGTAACTGTGTGGTTTACCTTGCTAATTCGGGATATAATGCCCATACCTCGACCATACCTCGACTGCTATGCATCTCAGTGCCTTAGAGTATGACGTTCATAGTGAGTCCTGTCTACCCACACTCTTGTACTCTGAAGCATTGCTCAACAGGAACTAAGAAGGCCAACGCATATCCTGTGTGTATCTGTGCTCCTATAGTTCCTTAACTGCCTCATGTTCAACACACTCCTAGGTAGATGTTTAGCACTGATAAACATCAGCCACTGGTAGATGTTTAGCCATTTGTCCAGGCAGATGCTCTCCACATACAGGGAATGTTGGTGGTTAGCAAATGTGTAAAGTGGATACTTAAATAACGTGAAGGGAATGGCAATTAGGTAAGTTCCTGCCTATGGTCAGAGAAGATCCAGGACTCTGATTTGTCTGGCCTTCCGAGCCTTTCTGCTAGTTTGCTGGCACAGTATTTTCTGACACCCAGTCTGGAATTTCAAGGCATCCCCATGCGCAACATCAGCTCAACAACAACTCAATGTCAATAGCTGCAACAGCCAGCCGTGTCCTCCCATGCTGGATGATGGATCAAGCCAGGTTTCTGGCACCAGGAACCTGGTTGCATTCACCCATGTGTGGTCCCTGTGGGGACCACAGCTATTTGCTGTGAGAGTGGAGAACAAGCGTGCAGCTGTGCCGTGGTATGTTTTGCTCTGCTGAAGAAGGTACAGGGGAGATGGCCAGGAGGCATTTATTACTCCTGTTGGCATATGCAAACTGGAACAGCATCTATGTTTTTTCCAGTCTATTATATCTGGACTAGTGCAAATAGCCCATGAGTTTAAAAGCTTGGATATGTCCCCTGCTCTCCTGCACCGAGTCATTAGGTCTACAAAACAGAAGTCTTACAGGGCATGTGGATCTAGAAGTTTTGTTTAGCCTAAGGAAACAGACACCATGTAAGGCAATGCAAATCTTGCTAGCAGAGCTGGAGGTTGTCTCAAATGCAGGAAAATGTGTGTGTGTGTATGGATGGAAGAGAGTCAAGAGAGAAGACAGCAAAAGGAAATTATATTTCTTTCTTTTATTATACAGGATTGTATGTACAAGGTCACCTTTCTCCCAGACATCAGCATCATAGTCAGTTCATAGCAAAAAACTGCAGCTCATCTCTCAAAGCCTAGAAAACAGCTCTACAACGGCTCAGTACAACACAACGGATAAATTGTACAGGAACCGGAAAAAAAAGTAGGGGAAAGCACAGTTATCCCTTTAATCCCTCATGAATTATTTTAAACTAAGAAATGCAAATACAACGTTGTGCTTCAAGAGCCATGCTTGCTCCGGGATGGCCCTTTAGCCCCCTTCAGCCTGCTTTTCCCTCTGCCCTTACCGGAACGATGCTGCAGAAGAGGCCTGGCTCTGAGCGCCGGATAGGAAGTAGGAGTCCCCCTTGCACAGCCCTCCGTAGAGGCAGGGAGCGAGGGGGGTCTGCTCAGTTTGTGGAGTGTTTGATGGAGGAGAAGGTGGGGATGGCAGTCTGGATTCAAAGCACTGGTGTGTGGGTGTGTATCGGAGGGGAAGTGGGGGCCAGAAGGGAGATGGGAAGGACACATCCAATCTCAATAAAGTGCTGCATTAGTCTCAGTCCCATCAACCTCTGAACTTGGGAAAATAGGATAAAGCCATGAAAGGGAAAGGCCAAGAAAGAAAAGGCAGAGACACGGACACCGAGGTGCAGAAGAGTTCCCATGACAAGCCACATGCTGACTGCTGCAACCCTCTGACATCAGGGCTTAGGGCAGGTCAAAAGCAGTTTGAATTTGGAAGAGTTGATGCTTGAAGGCCCACATGCATCGTGCTCGGCGTGTTCCTTGTTGCCAGTCTCATTAAGCTCAGACAGGTCGTCTCATTACTCAGATCTGTTTTGACGATGCTGGAGCGAGGGGAAATGTGAGCCCCCACGACGGGCTGACTCATCTGTCACCGCGCTGCACAGGGAGTGGGGCCACCTCCTGCCCACGCTGCTGCTGAGCCAAGAAAGGGGTCTGTGCTACCAGTCCGCAGGTGCCTGCACCCTCTCCCTCTGCAAGGGCTCCCTGAGCCTTTACAAAGCACTTCCAAGAGAGCTCAAGGAACCCAACCAACTGCAGGTGACGTGTGCTTTCTTTCTGCTGCTCTGGTGTGCTTGCTTTCCTGCGGGCGCCTTCCTTCTCCTGCCCCTCTCTTCCAGCAATTGCAAAGAGCTCAGCAACGAAGTGGCACAGGCTCCTTTCCCACTGGAAGGGACCGCGTACCTGTGACAGCTCATGGGACGAGGGAGACATAAGACGAGGCAGCTGTTCTGGGAGGGGAGCGCGCCCCACATTGCTTTGCTTGACATGATGTGTGAGACCATAAATTGTCCCAACTTTTCCGCCAGTTAGCAAGTACTCTGACCCTTAATTACCATTGGGAAAACCAAACCAAACCAAACCAAAACCATACCAAAACAAAAAAACCTCTTTGTTGGATATAATTTCTTGACCCTCCTCTTTTACAAAATGCTGGAGAGCGTCTCTGATTCACTTGGTAACACAATCACTCGCCCCTCTCCAGTCAGTGAAGGTTATGGGCTGTGCAGGGTTTGGTTGCTGCCTGTGCTGGCAACAGTGCTCTGAATCCATTGGATGGGGATCTGCTGGGATGAATAATTTTCTTTGCTTTACAGATGGGTGGAAGATGTTGGGCCATGTCTCTCCTTTTGAATGCCAGGTGGAGATGACAGTAGCCCTTCAGGTAAGCTTGTCTTGCTCAGCGTGCCAGGATAGGGTTTAGCCTCGTGCTTTCCACACATCGTTGCTCACTGCTGTTCTGAACGGGCTGCAACAGACGAGAGAGAAAAATAGGTGCATCATTTTCCCTAAGTTTCAGAGAGGCAGTGACTTAGGAAATGGAGAGAGGGGTTGATCGGTGGCCCAGGTGAGCAGCCAGGCTCCATGCTAGGAAAACTCAGAGGATCAGTGTGAAAGAACATCTTCTGAAGCAGCCAAAAAAAAAAAAAAGTATGGGATGAAAGCTTATGCTCCAAAAGTATTGTGTGAGCTATACCTGGTTACTGTAGTCTGGCATCCTCCACATCTGTGTAATGGCTGTTCTCCTGAAGGGAAAAAGGACCAGAAAGAGGAAATCACCATTTGTTCTTCCTGCCCTAGTTAGCACTCCCTTTGTTCTTTCACTGAAACCTGAAGGCTGGAATTGAGCAGGCCTGCTGGGCAGCCATGTACGCGGCTCTCTAGCCATCCCTCTACAAGCTCTCGCAGCAGGAACTGCGCTGGGCTACTCGGCACTGAGGGAGCCACTACCTGCCCACACCAGAGAACAGGCATGCCAGTACTCACTACTGCTTGCCCAGGGATGAAGTTGACCCATAGCTGCAAATTGTACAACAGTACTGCTCTTGGCCAGAGAAACAGGTCCCAGTTTGGATCTAAAATGATAACATTCAGAGTATTCACCACGCCAAGGGCCTCAATGATAGCGTGATGGGTTGAACCTCTTTCCATACCAGAGTGCTTTTGAAAATAAGGCATGAGAAGATCCCTTCATGGAGCCATTCTGCAATACAGTGTCACTGAAACGATTAGACAGTCAGCAGCAGTACTTTACTTCCTATAGAGGCCAAATTTTGTGAGGGATATTTTATAGATGGAAATGGAGCCAGGGGACATCTGCAGGTGATACTAGCTAATCTGAAAGGAAAGTCAAGGGAACTTAATCTAAATCGTGATAGTAAGATGCTGCTTTATAAGGCATGGGGGTCCCATTCTGACTTCAGTTCTGAATCTGCTCTTCTCTGCCTGCTTAAGTCAGGTGGAAGATTTTAACTCCTGACTCACTGGAGCACCTCTGGTCTACTGGACATATCTGTGATCTACATTTCTTGTGGGAGAAGGTTCAGGGAATTAGGCACAGGGAATTCACCTCTCCATCATCTTGCTACTTCCACTGCATCTCAGCCAACCTCCAAAAAAGGGTCCATGTGGAGGTGTTGCATAGAAAAACGCCTCAGTCTATCAGTGCAAGGAAGGAGGGACAGCGAGAGTAGCTCTAAGGAGCTCTCAATGGAAGCTACCGAGACGGGCAACTCTGAAGCCTTGTGACTTCCAGCAACAGAACAAAGTCTCCTCTGGCTGCAGAGCTGCAGTTACCAAGCTGGTGTAGCGCCCTGTGAACAGGTTCTTCAGGAGGCCAGGACACAAGGTGAAGAGGCCGCCTTGTGCTTCATGCAAATGGATAGTTCAAACGCACACAGCTCAGCCTTGGAAAAGGCAATGACCTAGGTTAAGGACCAGAGGACAGACCAAACCCAGAGACAGCATAGTGGCATCTGCTACAGACTGAGAAAGGTATGAAGCATTCTCTGGGCAGCTAGAAGAAGCTTCACGATTGTAGGTCCTCCTAATCATAGGAGAATCAGACAGTGTGAGAAAGAAACAGACTAGTGGGGCCACACTCTGCAGCTGTCCCAGGGAGAGCACCCAGAGAACCCCGAAATCGATCTGAGGATCCCCTGCCCTCTTGCCATAGGGCAGAGGGGGCAGAATTAACAGTATTAAGAGATGAACAAGAATTGAAACGGGTCCCTGTTCAAGGTGCAGGCGAACCCAAGAGAGGTTGTGGAATCTCCTTCTCTGGAGATCTTCCAAACCCGCTTGGACTCAATACTGTGCCATGTGCTGTAGATGTCCCTGCGCGTGCAGGGTGTTGGATTGGTGATCTCCAAAGGTCCCTTCCAACCTTAACGATTCTATGATTTGATGAATCCAACCACCCTGATACCTGCTGGAAGGGCAATAGGGCTGGGAAAAAGCAATCCAGGAGGTTTCTGGAGAGCATCAAGGACAATTTCTTGACACGGCTGACTGACAAGCAGATTAGGGGATACCCTTCTGGACCTGTTACTGACAATCAAGTCAGAACTGGTTAAGATGTGAAGGTTGAGAGAAATATTGGCACAGATCGGGACACAAATCCATACTGAGAGACGGTCTCTCTCCACATCTACAGGCTGCAGCATGCCTTTCGGACTTGACTCCTCTGCCCCTACCCAGTGCTGGGCACCCTCACCATGGCCAAAGAGAGATTAGTGCACAGAACCAGGGCAGCCAACTTCAGCCTTGAGGTGGGGCTGAAAGGAAGTGTGTGTGCAGGGTAGATGTGTGCAGGATGTGTCATGTTCTTAGTGACAAATGTGGATGCAGTCTCCATGGATAGCAGGACATGACAGCTATGCTGATGTGTGTAGGTCAAAGAGAGACACAGGATGAAGAAGTCACTCGCCAAGAACTGGAAAGATTTAGGAGTTGGTCAGTACTGCAAGGTCAGGATCAAAGTATAAAGGGTTTTTTTTTTTTTTTTGGTGATTTGCCTTGCAGTGTTTAAGGAAATACTCCTGTGGATGAACTGCACACATTAAGCTGCCTCATGCTGAGCACAACCGAGCCTGTCTGATGCTGGCAGCAAAAGATTTCTGACCTCAATGCCTCTTTAGGACCAGAGAATTACAGAAAATAGATTGTAGACACCTGAAGTAGTTATTTTGTTCATTTCCTACACCTAATGAGGACCACTTCACCCTAAATCATTCCCAACAGATGCCTCTCCACTCTGTTTTCATATCCCACCAATGCCGGAGAATTCCACATTTGCTGTTGACAGTCTGCACAGCACTTTATCATCGTTAGCATCAGCAAGTTCCCCCCACCACTAATTTCTACCATCTGTTTCCCTTGAGGTAATTTAAACCTGGGCTTCCTTGTCATAATCAGCAGAGATGAAGGCCAGCTTTTGCCTTTCTGCTTCACAGCAGTCTGTTATGATGTCTTCTCTTAATCATCTCCTTAGATTCAGCAGTAGTTATGGGCTTCAGCTATGAGGCCCCTGAAGATGAAACAGTTGAAAAACTCTGCTAAAATCCCTCACCCATCCTCACCAAGGTGCCATGGGCACCAGAACCACAGCTCTCCTGGCTTGCTGAAGCCCGGCAAAGAAGGCAGCAGCACAGGAGGGCTGGATCTCTGGCCAGCACCTGGTTGCCCTTTGTAACTGCCCATTTCACCTGGGTCTGGAGCTGATCCTGTTTTCAGAGGACCCTTTATTTTTGAGAAATGACAATGCCACCAGCAGTAACACAGTACCCTGCAACACCATGGTAAGCAAACACATTTCTCATCCTGTAACTGCATAAACGGATGCTTCATTTTAGGCAAAGAAGTTGCTCACTGGGCCTGTTTGCAGTCCCTGCCTAGAAAATATCCTTATGCAGGGAAATACTAAGGCCAATGCATATGACATCAGGCTAATCAGGCTCAGGCAAGTGCTGCCCTCAGCAAGGATATACCGCTTCACGCACAGCAGTAGCTGCTTGCTCAAACTGCAAGTAGGTTCATGCAATTTGGTGTCCATCCTGAAGAAAGGTCAATGCAAATACAAGTTGTTAGTCAAGTGTACTCAATATAATATGGCATGTCTTTGCCATATGTTTTAGTCCAACTGAGAATCACTCTGGAGCAAAGCAACCTCTTTTAACCATTGATTTAACTATTGTGAAATCAAGGATAAATGTGAACTGCATTTCAAGAGCCAACTACGTTTCTTCAGCATCTCCACGTGCATTCTCTAGGTCAAATCTTTTGCAAGCAGAGCACTCTGGAAAAACATGCTGTAAGCAATCATGGGATTAAATACAATTATTTATTTTTAAGCAGGAAAAACTGTATTTTCCTGGGGACTTAACAAGTTCCAGGAAAACTGCAGTTTCTTATTAAATTCTCTTTACCCAAACCCTCTTACCAGTTCATCTTCACAATCATCTCGTGTGAGACCCTCTTCCTCACCCTCATCTCCGTTCAGCGGCTCCTCTGTGTTGATCTCTGCCTCTGATGCTGTGTCTTCCTGGGAGATCTCACTTTTGCTTCCGTCAGCTTTCTTCCGTACCTCTGCAGGACCAAAAGCCAAGACACTTGGATTAGAGGGGGCAGTTCTTGAAGTCTGACGAGACTAATCCAGTGGGCCCTCGTATTCAGGAGCTGCTGTATTAATAATGGATATATGGTGGTTTTTTTTTCCTACAATGTTGATTTTTGAAAGAAATACTGGAGAGGCAAATCAGAATTAATTCTGCCAGCCTTTGGGGTGAGTATGAAAAAATACAAAATATGTCATCAAAGAAAAAAAATCATGATTTTAAACCCATTTCCATAATTTGGAGTATGTAATTTTGGCAGCCTATGGTGTGGCAACACACATGCGTGTTTTTTTTGCAGTGATGTTTCCAGTTAGTCTAACACTTGCAGCCCATTTACCCCTTCTGCTTAAATCCCAACATGGGCAGAAAATGAACCATGCATGAAAATGAACTGCAGTGCAGCCTAGTGCTCATGTATAAAACCCAGGAAAGTTTTCGGCTTCTGATTTCCATTTCAGGAAAAGAATGAAAATCCCTTGGGCATAGGCAACCTCCCTCTCCCATCCTGCAGAAAGCAACCGGGGGCTCATAACCAGGAATCTGCTGCTGAGCAGACTTGCAGACTTTGAACTCCTTGGGGCAGGGACCTGCATCTTGGTGTTTGCTATAGTGAAGTCCTTGCTCCTCTTTGGTGCTGCAGAAACACCTTGTGCAGTGTCTGAGGGCTCTCTCCAACAGGAGCTGGTGTGGGCACCGCAAGGCAGAGCCCGCTGACTGTACGCAGCCACTGAGTTGTGCAGACCGGCCTGGCCGCCCAAACGAGCTGCTCCGAACGCCCTTCTCCGCGCTGCAGCTCCCGGCCCTTTCCCCACTGACCCCGAGGCCTTCAGACGCAGTCAACAAACCTGTCGACACTTTCTGTTCTTCAGCAATCTGCTCCAATCTGCCCAGAAGAGCATCGATGTTGGATTTGATCTGCGTCAGTTCAGTTTTGATCGTTTGCAGTTCGCTGCATTTCACTTGGAATGGAAGAAGGAAAGAGAAGTACTTACTCTGCTTGGTCATCTTATGCATTACGGATGATGCTGTGAGCAAGACGTTGCTCATGGCCACCATAACACTCAGCCCTTGTGGCCATGGCTGTGCTGCAGAAACCTCCAAAGCTGGAGATGGAGGGGATTTTGACCTGGACACACTGCAGAGATCCCTTTGCGGCTCTCGGGGAATGGGGCTGTCTCCTCTTGGCTGCCTGGCAGGACAGTGCCAAAGCTTCCTGGGGACACATCTACTAAAAGGAAGGTGTCGGGACGGTACCCAGGACTCACTGTGTCTGGGACATGGAGGCCCTTGATCGTCCAGCCTCAGCCCTCCCGCTGACCTAAATCCCCTCGCTGGGCAGGGGACACGTGGGTCACACGGGGGTCCCTGCCACCCGCCCGCACATACTCACACTTCAGCTTGGCCGAGCTGTTGGCGATGGCGGCCGACCTGGCGAAGAGCTTGACAGGCAGCGTGGCCTTCACACGCCGCACAAGGGGGATGGTGACCCTGGGCCTCTTCACGGGGACCACCCGGGGCACGGGCGACACGCGGCCCCGGTACTCGAAGAGCCTGTGCAGGGATGGGCAGCGGGCTGAAGCAGCCGGGGGTTGCGCCGGATCAAAGGAGAACCCGTCAGGCCGCTGCCGCCCCTGCTTACCTGTCGTAGAAGTCGTCTCTGTAATAATCATAGTCGAAGTCATAACCGCTGCAGAGACAGAGTAAGGACAGGGCTGGTTAGTGACCATGGAGAAAAAGAGGATGCTCAGGAATTTAATAGTTGTGGTATTGAAGATGTTTAGTCCCTTTCTTCTCCTCCTGATACCCTGTCCATGTCCTGTTTTTTGGGCTTTCATTGCATTTCAGCCCCTGGTTTTCTCATCTCCACCATGCCCTGAAGACTCAACCCTGCTTTCGCCCTCGCTGCAGCGGATGTCTTGCAAGGCAAGAGAAAAAAGCATGAGTGCAGTGGGCGTTCCACGGGGCGATCAGCCTAGTGCAGGCTGTTGTTAGGGACATGGTGTCAAAGGGTGAGGGCTCAAGCATTAAGCCTGAATCAAGAAAAAGAGAGACGTGAATTTGGTGTCCTGCAGCTTAAGCAAGAAGTGACAAAAACGAGAGGAGTTTTGCCAGGGCAGCAGACGGGAAACGTAGTTTTGACCAGAAATTCAATTTATCACCCAAGATGCCTATGCTGGTACTGGGCTTCACAACATGTATTTAGGTCCAGCAACTTGCTGCTTTCTGATACTGGTTTTCCTTTTCTCAGCGTTGGTGTCCTCCCATCCTTTTCTGACCTTAGCCAATATGTCTGCTGGCCTCAGAGATGAGAAATGACTATTCCAGTACCCCAAATAGTATGATCTGCTTTTATTTTCTTATGTGTCTTTCTGATCTGAAAAAGAAAGTTAATTCTCGTCACATCAGCTCTTGCTGGAATATAACTACCATATTCTTATGACTTAAGAGGCAGCATGGAAAGTGGAAAATTTTCAAGGAGATATTTCAAGACCGGTAACTTGATTTTCATTCTGACCTTGTAGGAAACTTCGAAATATAGAAAATCTCCAAGAAAAATAACTCCCCTCAGCCTTCCAATCTATCTTGATCACCACGAATGTTCGACTCCAATTCTACTCGAATCCAGTAAACACAGAATACAATCAAAATAGGAAGTTACTTGAAAAGAAAATTGAAATAGGCTGCATCTACATTGTCAAGGTACTCCTTTTCTCCCCTTAGATGCAACTTAAATGAAATTGCTGCAATTTTGTAATATTTCTTAGTTCTGACAGGCTTTGGTGAAATGCTGCTGGCTGGCTCTAGCAATGCAATGGAAAGGAGGTTTTTGGGGTCCATAAGCAGGGAAAGGCAGCAGTAACCTCTCTGTACAGTTTGCAGACACTGCCTGGGAAGAAGCAGCGTCTCCATTCACCACAGAAACTTGTCCCTGGGCTGTCACTGGTCATCGGTCTCTGCTCCTGCTAGCAAAGCTTGCTATGGCTTGGAGGCATCTGCCAACATCTGAAACACTCTCATGCCTTTCTTCTTGTCTTAGTCACCCTGCTGGAGCCACCCTGGCCCAGATGGGTGGATGTGCGTGTGTATGTGTGCATGTGTGTTATCAAAAAGTTAAGATAGATTTGTAATTTTTTAAGACTTTCTGAAACATCATTTTGGTATCTTTAGTGGCCAATAAACCCAGTAAATGATACTCTGTTTGCAGCAGGAGCCATCCAGGGAATGGATGAGCAGCACCGGAAAGCCTCGCGTTTTGCTGATGCAAATCACCATCGACACAATTTTGCCACTTGTTATTTACAGTTGCTGCAGAGAGTTAGATCACAGCGTGTCTGATCTGCTGGATGGAGGGGGTACAAGAATCTCTGCAAATTGGTGTGGGTGAAAAGCAAGGGAGTGCGGAGATTCTCTGGCCCTGGAGCCTGGGGGACTCAAGACACTCAATATCCCATTTCAAATGGATGTAGATGCTTAACTATCCTGGGTACCTGGGCCTGACTTTCCAAATGCGGTGGGAATCATCTCACGGAGCCTATAACAGACACACCCAAGCCAGACTCTCCTTATGGGAAGAAAGAGGCAGATCCAGGTTAGGAATCATCACATTCAGAGGCAGACATTGCAAATAATTCAGGGGAGCTGCACTGAATAAGTGATTTTTTTTTTAATCCATTCAGACTTAAAAAAAAACCCTCCATAACTTTGAAAGGGGCAAGACAGAGCTTTGCTGCAATTGCCTCAGCTGCAGTGGTTTATCTGGAAATTGTGTGCCTGGTCATTTCACTGCATGTAAGATAAACCTCACCAAAACTGATGGATCATTTTTCAGTGACATGGTAGGGCTTCCTATGTGTGGAGGAATAATTTTTGCCATTTTTCAAACAGTTGGTGACACTGCGACCTTTAAAAACAAAACAGGAGAACTCGAGAGTAAGCCAGCACGAGGCTGTAAAGCTGTGTCAGGTAGCACGATGCCTCCAGTTCCTGATGTCTCTTCTGTGCCATTTCTGTTTAGTAATTAAATCACATTCTTTTTAACAACTTACCAAAGTTCAAAACCAACACACTAGGAATTGAAGGGCAAATTGTTTCAATGTGGTGCACTTCCACTACATTTGCAGGAAGGAAGGTGCCACTTTGGAGCATGTACCTGAAGAGCAGATGTAAATCTGAGTGGCCATGCTTTTAATTACCTGGTTGATGGCCTTGTACTGATAATCACAAGTGACAGGTTCTTCTTAGGTTGCATCCTACTATTAACAGTTGCACAACCTTAATTATTGCAGCAGTAGAAATAATATCAACTGCAAAGCTACTTGCAACATCAGGCATTGATTAAATGGGGAGCTTTGAAAATCTTGCACATGTGGTGTGAGACTCTTTCCTTCTGCAAGTTGCCAAAGTAGTTGGAAGCTGGGAGATAGATATGGGAAGGGAAAGGGGCATTTCCAAGATGCTAGCACTGCACGGAGGCTGCTGCGTGCAGGGAGAGGGTGCTGGGTCCAGCAGCTGGTACCGTTGCTGCTCTGCCCCGTGGCTGTTTCTCAGCCCCATCAGGGCAGATTTGGCCCTGGGCTCTTGGGGATGTTGTTGCTCCTGGCACTGCTGTGCTGTTGTGGGATGAGTGTAGCTGCTGCTTGGAGGAGGCTCAACACCAACTCCTGGTGGTGAAAGCAATGGGCATAACAAGGGATGCGAATGCCAGCAGAGCCGAAAGGAGACCATCCTCCCATTCCTGCAGGCTCTGAAAATAAGCCAGTGGTAGTTTGCGTCCATCCCCATTTCAGACTTGGTTCCTTGGGTCACTGATCTGCCAGACGCTTTGTTGCTCTTGCAGGTTCAGCTTAGGTTGTCCCAAAGCTCGATGAAGATGTCCTTACAGCTGCAGAGCAAGCCCATGACCAACACTGCTCCGAAGGCCAGAGCTTTTTTCCTCCAAAGGTCCAATACAAACACTGAGTTGACTGCACTGCGACATCTCCTGGGGCAGAGCTGACTCCTCATCACAGCCCAGAGCAGGGAGCAGACCCAGCAGGGCCACAGGGACCAACGGGACAACAGTCCTGAGAGCCCAGGAAAGTCTGCCTGGACATTCCCCAGGCAGCCAGAAAATGACTGCCAGAAGGTCTGCAGAGTGCTCTGGGATCCCCTGACCCTGCTTGCAGCTGGTCGGAGCAGGGAAGGGATGTCCTGTGTGCAAAGAGATGCTTGGGCAAACACTGCAGGCAGCGGGAGGGAGCCCTGGAGGACCGGGCAGATCGGAGCCATAAGGTTTTACACTATCTGAAGGTTGGGCTCCTGCAGAGAGACGCGAGAATTTATGCTGGCAAAAGCCTGTGAATGTTTTACCTACTGGCAGCAGAGGGGAAGCCAAATCCCAAGGGATTTCTATTAAATTTCAAGCACCCAAACACATACCTTGGCTGATGGATCAAGGGAAGTTGTCAGGATTTTTGATTCCTCTGCATCCAAAATGAGAGATCCCTTCCCTTAATCCACAAGTCTCTCCCATGTTGAGACAAAATAAACCCCATTCCCCAAGGAGATAATCTAATGTGTTCAACATAGCATTTCTATAAGCTATAGATTGCAATTTGTAAGTAAGTCCAACATTAAAAAAAATAAATTATGGTTAGAAAAAGCTATAACCATAGATTGGTGCAAACCTGGTCTCCCTGTTTCCCAGGGTTTTTGCTAGTCCAGTGGCAAAGTTTAAATCTGTCACCAATCTAGCATAAAATACTGCCGAAGCTCCGAGCAAGATAACTCTCTAGACTGTATTTTAACATAACTGTATTTGTGGGAAGTAGCAAACATTTCGCTCTACCTCAGAGTCTGAGATAATAGTCATTACAACAGGAGTGGGTTAGTGGCCAAGGCATGGACCATGAGAAAATGCTGGCAAAGGAGGAGTCTTTATTGCCTGCCTGCACAGAACAAATGGAGTTGCATTATAAACTACCCCCACTGCATAAATAGTATTCATACATTTAAACAAAAATATTTCTATTTTCTCTGTTTCCGTATATCAGTGTGGATATTTCCCCTTGCCTTGCATCCCATGTAAATACAGCGGGCCAAACTCTGCTCATGCAACAAGATGGATTAAATCTTCAATAAGTTTCTTTGAGCAGATTTTCAGTAGTGTGCGGCATATGTGAGCTCTTGGGCTGTTGGCAGAGCTCTATGGGGCAGCCCCTGTGTATTTTTGGTGCTGTGGGGAGGCACACACAGGTGCTTCGCTTGGGAATGTGTTTACACACAGCGGCTCATAAATCTAGTACCTGTAAAGAGCTAAGAGCCAAGCAATAAACTGTTACTTCCTTGGGTACAAGGTAAGAAATGCTCCTCCATCACTCACAGCTGTAATCTTTCCCTGGATGCTGAGGTTTCTGTCTAGGAAATCAATGTGCCGTAACTCCGCAGCACGTCCTGCCCTCCCTGTCTGGCTGGCTCGCTGGGACCATGTTCCTTATCTATTAAGGGCAAAACCATTGGGAAGAGGCAGGTGGCTGCTTCCGTGACTTCCTCATCATGCCACAGTCTGGTGACTGCAGAGACCTGATGCACGGTCAAGCTGGATGCTTCTGCTTTGCTGACTTTCCTTTTTACTGATTTTCCTTTTAAACTTGGGTCGTAAAGGAGATATTTAGAAGAAGAGGCAGTTGGGAAGGTGAGATTTCCCTTGTCTTGGATTTTTTTCTGCATGTGAAAAACCATGGGTTGGAGTCTATCTTTTCTTGCCCTGTTCTCCTGCGTCTTTGCCCAACTCATCCCTGTTCTCCTTCAACACTCTTGGAGCTGGATTTGGAGGGGAGGGCTTCACTTTTTCAGACCCATTTTAACATCTCTGGTGTGGTTTCAAGCAGCTACTGTCTGTATTCCTTCAACAGACACCCAGTCCATGAGCCAAGCTGTGCCCAGAGGAGACTCACACGTCCCCAAGCCCTGGCTCTGCTCTCACTGGCTCTTTTCCCCTCAGCCCAGCAAGCGAGGACAGAGCTCATTGAGTAGCAGCAGCCTGGGGGGTTCTGGGGGAAGTCCAGGACCTGGAGGCATCAATATGCCGAGTGGGAAACATCAGCCCTGAGACACAGCTGCAGGGAGGGGACACGGAGAAGACCTACCTGTACAACGCCGAGGCTGCTCTCTTCAGCCCTTTAGGTCTATTTGGCTTGGGTTCCCCAGCCATGTTGATATCTGCAATGAATGAAAATGCAGCGATCAGCACTGCTTCGGACCAAGGCAGTTCTTACCTTTGGCTGACCTCTTCCTCTCCCTTTGCAGAGCTACTAATCATTAGTTTTCAAGCCGAATGCCCTGCACATTGCTTAACCCATGCACACAAGATGACAACTTCAGGTCTGGTTTCTCAGGAGAACTCAGCGTGGTTGTGATAAGACACCAATCACATATAAAACTGTTGGATGCTGTTAACTGGCAGTTACAGTTTATCCCTTGTTCTTTGCAGAATAAAATGAATTTTAAGCACAAGCCACCTGGGCATCGCTCGGATTTGGCTGCGCTTAAAGCTGCACAGGGGCAGACACATGCCTGCAGCCACCCGGGTTGATCCTGGAGGCAGATTCCATCGCAGGGAAGGTGAGAGCGACCTCCTTTAGCCTGCAGAAGAAATCGGTTCCGCTGCCTCGGTGTCAAATGTGCTTTCAAAGTGAGAAGAAACAGTACAGACAATTTAATGATGTCTGTGGAGCCCCAGATTGCATGGAGAGGAGCAGAGAAGCATGAGGTCTCGATCCCTCAGAGTTCCTTGGCCGAGGAGCAAGCAAGTACCTCCTGGTTTCTCTATCACACCCAAACTTCTGCTTTTCAGGCTCTTTCCATATAAATGTTCTTTGTTGCCGACAGTTAATGCTAAAGGAGTGTCCAGCCTGAGAGCAGAACAGGCACACATGACTATGGACAGGGCAGGCCTGTGGACAACTGCTGTCCTTGTGGCTATTGAGCATGTTGGGGCCTTTCTGAGTTAGCTGGAGCTGACTCAGAAACGGTCATTTTGGTAATGACCATTTGCTGTGAGCGAGGAAGGTAGCAAACTCTTCCTCCGTGCACTCCGTAACACATCCTCGCTCAGCTTTGCTCTCCCTGCTGTGAGCCCTTGTGGCTGTCAGGGGCTTCTCATGAGCTGTCAGTCACTTTTCTTGTAAAATGGAGGGCTAATGGCACCACCATGCTGCTTAACACGCTTTGAGGGAGATGCAATGAAAGCCCAATGGTGGATAACAACACCAATTAGCTCAATTTGCTGGTATGCACCACTAGAAATAGCACAGCAGAGCCTTCATCCGTGCATGCAGTCAGACCAAAAATTTCTACTTTCAACCTACAGCAGTGGTGCAGTTAGGTTCCCTCAGGATTCCCTTGACACTCAATAAGGAGAGACAACAGCTCAGCACGCACATCGGCCTGAATAGATTTTGCATCTCACTGACAATCTGGCTCCCTCCGCTGCATCACTGTGCTCCATCAACTTATCTTCATCTGTCCCCTCTGCAGCTGTCACTGAAGCCATCTGCCCACCCCATGGCTGTATCCCTCTCCCACATCCAGGCATCTTTGACCACATGAAATCAGGAAGATGCCCATTGCCTGGCAGAGGCAGCAGGGACAGATTACTGCTGGATTTGATCTTGCTACCAGTAAAGAGCACTGGAAGCTTCCTGCAATGTCTGTTCTTCCAAAGAAATATCTGGTTGCATCCCATCATGCATAAGTTACGGAGGGAGCTAGAAACAGATGTTTGCTCTGGCCAGCCCTTCCAGAGAGCCTAGAGGAACAAACGTTTGCAACCTGCAGAGGAGGCTCAAGTTCAGAACCTGTTTTGGAAGCTTGACATTTCAGATTGAACTGGCAGGTTAAAGCTGCAGATGAAAAAATTCCTGCTATGGCAGAAAGCAGCTTCCACTGCCTGCCAGGGTAGGGAAGTTTTGCTGTCAGCTTGGAGTACCCCACCTCTACAGAGCCAAGCACATCCTCTTCAGCAGCACGTCTTCCATGTCCTCTGACCCCTTCCATCCTCTCCCCAGGAGCACAGTGGCGTGGATGTGACCTCCCCTTTTGGTGGTGACTTTCCACCAGCAATTCCCTGAAAGCTTGTTTGGTGCAAAGATGTCTTCTAATCACCTTGGAGGGTATTCTCTTCTCCTCTCTGCCAGGTTTTCCTACAAGGGGAACATGCTCACAGCCGCCAGAGGTCCCTATGGCTTGTTGTCAAACCGGGCGCTGAGGAGAGCATCAGAAGTTCCCATCAGGTCACCCTTTCCTAGCCATCTCTCCTCAGCAAAGTGCTCGTTTCTCGGCTGAGTCTGTAGCATATTTCTGCAGTGTCCACATAAGCGTCTTTCTTCCCCAAGGCCTTGCTCATTATGTCTATGCACTGTGTGAACATGCGGGCAACATCTGGACTAGAAGCAATACTGGCACAGTGCACTTCACCCTGTCACCCTGTGCCTTCAACTTTGCTTTGTGCTGAAGGGAAAAGAAGTGTAAAAGAGTTTCTGGTGTTTGAATAAGCCGCTGGAACCGATGGAAGCAGCATCCTATCTGAAAGACCACAGCTAAATTCAACTTTGTGTTTCAGACTGCTGTGCCAGAAGCATAGTGGGAATGGGTTGTAAATCTCTTCACTGGGTGTCCAATGACCACTCTCTGCAGCAGGCTGACAAGTAACAATTTTTCATTAAAAATGCTGTCTTCAATTCTCAGCTTAGAGCTGGTTGACAACAGCTTCTCAGCGTGTGACCCTTCAGAGCAATCTGCAGAAGGATGCAGCTGGGAACAGCTGGGATGTTTTTGTTATTTTTTATCACACAGCAGGGATAGACCAGAGACTTTCACATACGTGGACAGAGGGGGAGGAAGACATCTCTTTTAACATCAGTTGAGCAAAGTTAGTCAGAGGTACATTGGGGTAGACTACAGGTTTGACAGGTAAAAGGTAAGGTGAGCACCTCCATCCCAAGCTGAACACTCACTCCCAGAGGTGCCTGGCTCTGGTGACTGTACAGCATGTCTAGGTGATCACTTATAACTGGACACTTATTTTTAAATGGTGAAAAAAGGGTGAGATGACATGTGTGGAAGCCCTACAGATGATGAGTTGCTGTCATTTTAGTTCAGGCACCTTGAAATGAAGGGTACAACATCAGGGTCTGAAAATTGCTTCAATGCAGGATTTTTATCTTAAGCTCTCAGTGTCTCCACAAAGTCCAAGCAGCACTATGGTCCACCCTCCAGGGCACTGGCATGGGAAAAAAAGTAATCGAGACTCTCCTCTCATGCTATCCTTATGATCTCCTCTATGACCAGAAGCAGAAGGAGAAACATTGAAGACCAGAAACCATCCTCCTCTTTGCTGTTTAGATTGTAAGATTCTCAGCAGTGAACATCTCTTGCTACAGAGCCTAAAGGGGCCCAAAATTCAGTGGGGCCTTTAATGTTGCAATAGTATCAACGGTATTAACATATCTTCAAGCTCCAGTGACTTTTAAACAGCATAATCCAGTCATTTTAGTTAACATGCCTGAACACTAATGACACATGGTTAATTTAGGCACATCTGTTTTCTTCCATGCAAATTCCCTGCTAGATCGTTTATGCTGGCATGTTATGCAGAGGCTAAGACCATGAAAGGTGAAATAAGAGGAGTAACTAAGCAAATGAGTGTGTCCAGGGACCCCAAACCTCAGAAGCTCATGGTCCTGTCCAGAAAGAGAACCAGGAAATGTTTTTCCCAGCCTTTTCCACCCCTACCAGAGCTCTAAGCAAGAAAATGAGATCAATCAAGACTCTTATGTTTTAGCTCCTACAATCACAGTCCATAATGTGAGTTTTGGGGGCCTAACATCAAGGCACTAATAGGACTTACTGACCATGATCAGCCTTCCTTGGGACCCCTGCCCATGGGCCCAGGAGCCTCATTTAAGCTCTGGCCTGGACATTCAGCCCTTGCCTAAGTTATGCTGCCAGAGTGCTGGTTTCCGGCTCTATTTTACCCATTGCCTGTACCCATGACCCTCCACAGACCCTCTCAATCCAGTCACAGACCCCAAACTGGAGACTGACCTCCTGGCTTGACCTCAGACCTGTGCTGTCACTATGGGCCTGCCCAGCCAGCACTGGACCTGAGTTGAGGCCTGACTTCCTGCTTCACCTCAGGTCTGCCGCAACACCATGGACTTGCCTGATGATCTGGGCTCTTGGTTGACCCTGGTTATCATCTCTGGGTCTGCCCCACTTGCCTCATTTTGGGGCTGGGCCTAGGCCCTGACTGGTGAGGCTTTTGCCATCCTGGCCACAGTAGCATGTTCAGCTCCTTGCTCCCAGTTCCATACTCCTTGGGGAGCAGCCAGTCTTTGCTGCTCCCTGGCACCAAAAATGGCTAGTGGAAGACTTACCCAGAGTCTGGCCAGCAAGCACGCGCCCGTTCTCGCCCAGGACAGCGGCACGCGCGTGCCTCTCGTTGGAGTACTGCACGAAGGCATAGCCCTTGTGAACGGAGCAGCCCACCACGCGGCCATACTTGGAGAAAATGGTCTCCACATCCGACTTCTTGACCACGGCTGTGTTGAGGTTGCCAATGAAGACTCTGGAGTTGATGGACTTGGGATCGTTCTTGTTTGTGATGTTACTTGTCTGTACCTTCAATGACATCTTGAACATCTGAAGGAAAAAAGGTGAGAGAGTCAGAAAATGGCATAAGGGAGTTACCAGAGTCTTACAAAAAGATGGCCACTCCCAACAAGCCCGGAGCACAAGAACCAGCTCTTCAGTGTAGCCAGTCACAGCTGGTGGATTCTGTCTCTGGAGAGCCTGTACACGCTGGGGAAGGGACTCTCACCTGGCCAGGGCAAAGCTTGCCAGAAATGTCTCATTTATCAGGTTCTCGTGCTCTGGATGTAACCTGGTTGCTCTTGGGGAGCAAAATGCGATTTAAATCAATTTTACTTCTAAGTAAAAGCTTTAATACAATTTAAGGAAAACTTTTTACAGTCTATAATTAATTACTATTTGAGGACCGCTTATTTTTCAAAATCAGTCTGCACGCAGCACCTTAGTCCATGCTTATCTCTCAGGGCTTTTCACTTGCGAGCACCTCTCAGCACAGGCCAGCTCTCACTAGACACAAGCACAGGCTGCTCTCTGCGGATCTGCCCTTGCAACTCCAAAGGAGCTTGATATTTTTCTGGATGCAAATGAGAACGGGGTGGCAAAGTGCCCTGTGTGCTGCAGGAGGCTGCCTGAGGTTTGCACTGCACTCGCTCTCGCACTTCTACCGGGATTGGGAGCGCTAGTTCCTAGCTGCATTTCCTACAAACAGGAGGTGTCACTGTTAGCCTGGGAATCTCCAGGCCCTCAGTCAGAGATGCTGTAGCGAGCTGCTTCCATGCATTTTCCAGAGTTGTAAGGTGCAATCCTTGCTTCACTTTGGAAGATGAGGGATGGGAAGGAACAGAGGTGGTAATTGTGTGAAACTAAATCTAGTCTTGCTGTCTATCAGGCTGCCGACTATGGTGGCTGCAGAAAAATTACAGGTGTCCAAAGACACCCATTTGATTTCCCTTCCTCTTTCCAGGAGCACGGGGGATGCTTTGGAATCACTTTATTGTGCACTGCGTGTTATTTCCCCAGGAAAAGTCTGCTCCGAGCTGCAGCAGGTATTTTCAGCAGCTCTGCCTGTCTCAAGTGTTGCACAGACGGAGGTCCTGCCCCGACTCATCCCCACATCTCGCAAGGTCTGCTTGCCCGCAGTACCACCGTCCGTGGCCTTTCCCAAGCCTTGAAACCCACAGTTCTTCTTTCCTCCAGTTGTTGCCAGACAGATGCAAGCCACGGAGATACAGGAACATTTCCTGCTGTGCTCTTTGTGTTTACACTTGAGATCTTTAAAGAACTAAAGTCCTTCTCCTGCACGGGCCTTCCCCCATGGGATGTGAAAACTTCCCAGTTGTGCCTCTCTTCCCCTAAAACAGTTTGAGGGGAGGAAAGGTCATTAATTTGGTAGGTTAGCCCTCCAGGTGATGTATATCCTTCTGAAGACTACTGCTTAGCTTCTGGCTCTTTGGGGTGCCCAGGCTGGCTTGTTCCTTGTATAAACCAATTCCTGTCTGACAGTGCTTCTCTAGGTAGAGAAAAGCATCAGTGTTTTAGGGTCACCACTGCCAGCTCTGTATCTTGTTGGGGTCTCACCAAGTGGATTGCATCTCTCATGCAGATGGTGTTTGCAGCCTGACCCAGGTAGATATGGAGGGTTTTAACACCGCTTGCAATCAATGAGCTCCAAACAGACAAGTTGCGGCTGGTAGACCCCAGCCTTTCCAATTCTCAGAGCACAAGGAACTGGACACTCAGTTCCTTTAATCTTTTAAAGCCAGGCTATACAGAGCATTAGGAATATATGGGAGGGATGGTCTTCCATGAGGAGCAGCAGCAATGGCAATGGCACAACAAATCTTATCCACCTCTAGCCTCTATGATTCCATTAACCTACCACTGAGACAGTACATAATCTTCCTAATTTGACTGGAAAAAAAAAGTTAGGCATTGTCTAAGTCTGGTTTGTTGCATTTTTTTCCCACTCCTACAGACAGATATTTTTATTTTATTGTTTCCAAACCAGCTTCTGGCTGAGCATGTGTTCTTAAAAACAATGTAGAAAATGACTGAAGGATAAGATTTTTGAGGTAACCTAAGGTGAACTGAATCCTCTAACCCTTGGCAAATGGTGCCTAACTTCAGCTTTCTTGAAATCCCAATAACATCCAAATAACACTATCTATTTGTAATATATACTTTGCAGTGCTCTGTTCACTGGGGACGTGCTCTCTAAGCACAGTTTTGCTAATGAACATAAAGTAGCCTGGAAAAGATTCACATAGGAAACAATCTCCATTCCTGTTGCACAGGTGGCGAAACTGAGAAAAAGCCCAGGCATGATTTCCAGTCATTTTGTCATTTTGGGTGCCCAACCTGGAGAGTCCTCCAGCATGTCTCATCCACAGGAAATCTCCCTGCTAATCTCCAGGGCATCGGGATGAGCTGAGAGTGGGGAGGACTTCCAGAAGGGCTGCAAACTGTATCTAGGGTGCTTTCATCAAGGTAATCCTGGACTTGATCCATTTTGTATCCATCCCATGGTGTCAGTGATTTTGCAGGTCAGTGATGCTGACGGATGACTTTACACCTAGAGACTCCAGAATCCAGTTACACCCAGGGACTGACTGTCCCTGTAGTTTTTGTTTCAGAGTAGATGGGCCCTGGCCTATGATCTCTGGATGCCTATAGCCAACACAAGGCCATCTCACACAGACTTCCTTGGCCCACTTAGTCACTTCCCCTTCAGGAGATCCATGCCCACTCCTTTCCTCTTTG